TGTCGTGGGAGGCCTGATGCTCTCTCCCTGTGCACTCAGGAAGGTAACTAAGGATTCCCCTGTTAGCTGCCCATTAGTCTGTAATTGGCCTGTTCTTTTGCACAAGCCCAGCAGGAAGCACAATCCCAGGCAGCTGATGAGTGCTGGGCTGTTTGAGCACTTCTCCTCCCTCGTGTTGAATTATTTAACGGAGGATTTGGTTCCTGATGACAGAGTAGTATTGAAGGCTCCAGCAAGGATCCCAGCAGAGCTGTTACCTTGCAGAGATGTTGGCTATCCCAGCTGGAAGCGTACAAAAATCCTATTAGCTGCTACACAGACATGGGGGATGGCATGAAACCAATGGCAGGTGTTGACTATCGAGCACACGCTGTAGTCTTAAAGCTGAAAACATCTCCAGACAGATAACAGAAGTAAATTGGGTTTGGATTCACCTTTGATATTTATGAAGAGTTCAGCTAATAATTCTCAATTAATTCTGCATTCCAGCAATATTTGGAATATAAATGTTACCCGTGGGGTTGTTGGTTGTGCACGTTAAGTACTACTGTCCTGTCCTATGTTCTTACAGATGCTTACGACAGATACCTCCCATATATCCTGATGGGAAGCCTGACCGTGCTGATTGGGATTCTTACCCTGTTTCTCCCAGAGAGCTACGGCAATTCCCTGCCTGAGAGCTTTGAGCAGATGCTGAAGTTGAAGTGGTAAGGTGGTTTTCCTTCATCCCATCATCATGAGAATTCAGCACCTCTTTCTACATAGTCCCTTTTCACAATCAGTAAAGATGTAAATCAGTAAACAAGGCCAGATTGGATGGGGCTTGGAGCAAGCTGCTCTAGTGGAAGGTGTCCCTGCCTGTGGCAGGGGGTTGGAACTGCATGAGCTTTAAGGTCCCTTCTAACCTGAAGCATTCCATGAGTCTATGATTCTGTTACATCAGATCTTTCAAAGTGAACCTGAGAGCTGCTGTGCTTGAAAGTGGGCACCCAGAAAGCAAGGCTGACCCTCACATCACCTTCAGGCTGCTGCTTCCTATCTCCCAACACTTTTCAGTCCTTTTCTCGCACTCGCTGTCCTTAACTTTTCATTTAAGCTATTCATTTAGTGGGATGTCGTACATTCCAAAACACTTCACTCTTTCAGTGTAAGTTCATTAGGTACCATTCCAAATTAAACACAGGACTGCAGTTCTCTAGCCTCTTTCATTTGGGAGGCTACCAGTTTACCAGTTACCATCGGGGAGGGAAATTCTTGGGAGCAGCGGGCTTCTTGCATAAACAGATTGAAGCAGCTGAATGACAGTGAATTATGTTCAAGTTCCCAGTGTTGTTTTGCTGCACTACTTCTGCCATCCAGAAAGGTGTAGTTTACAGGGCATTCTGTTTTCCCTAACGTTTCTATTGGTGGTGTAACATGGTTATTTTAGTGGTGGTAATCAGGAGGGGGAAGTGTCTGATGACACCCTGTAAAATGTTCTCTGCCTTCTCAGTCTTTTACTTGATTTCAGTTTCAGAAACGGGCAACAAACCACTGGCATTAGGAATGCAAAGGAGAGTCCTAAGGTTCTGGTAACACCCTTGTGAAGAGGGACACACACTCAGAGGGGCTGAAAGAAGAACAACATCTTCTCAGAATGCATCTTCTGCCAGAGGAAAACCCAACAGTCAATGCTATTGCACCATAGTTGTTATCCCTTGTGCTACTCTACCCAAATACATAGTTTACTAACAGATGCTGTCTAGTCCTGTAGGACTCTCAGTCTGTAATTCAGTGTCCTGAAACTTGGGGCTTCTCCCTTGCTGAGAAATGGGGGCCTGCCTGTACTAAACACAATTCAAGGAGTAAGCTAGAAATGAGTGTTAGGAATAGTACAGCAATGACTCCAGTCAGTCGGGCACTCAGTGAAAGCTGCTTAAAGGAAAGAAAGGGTAGTGAACGTAATGCTCATGGTTTTTCTCACTGTGCGTGTTAACTGGATGAAGGGGAGCTGTGGTCTGTCTCTGAAAACCCAAGCACGTGCCCCCAAAGGGAAGACCTTCCTTTGAAATCTAGGACCAAAGCCTAATAGACGAAGCAGGATCAGGATTTAGTTGTAGCAAAGCAGACATGCACTTCAATGTAAGGATGTGGGATTCGTACAAGACATCAGAGTATCTTTTGATGTTGCTTTCTTTTCCCAGGAGCTGGGATCCACTTGTCCCTGTAAGAGCTGATGCTTGTTCATAAAGCCTGAGCCCACTGAAATCCTTGGGCTTCATGAACGTTTGGTATCCTTGGAGATGGAGGGGGAATCTTTAACACTGAGTAAGGACTACAGCTTGCTGACCACCTGAGGGGCTGTGCCTTCTTTCAGAAGACACATGGGCTTAAGCAAGTCAATGATCCCATCCAAACAGCTTTTAGCTTTCAGGTGTTTTGTAGTATATGGGCATAAGCGGGGTTTTTAGGTCTTTTGGGGTTGTGTTTTTTCCAAAGCATTTAATTTGAATATATACCACATCATATATATCACCTTCAGAGAAAGTACAGAGAAGACAGTTTTAAAAGCCTCTGCACAGTCTTTGTACCATTTACAGATTTAAAGGGGATTTGATGCTCACAAAAATCTGATGTTCTGTTCTGGAGATGTTCACCTGCAGCTATGAAAAACCACAAAAGGGCTAATTTGGGACCATAGGTTTTTTCAGAACTGAAAAACCCCACCAAGCCACCACCGAATCCAGTGTTCTGTTCTTCAGATCCTACAGGTTATGGGTGTATTTAAGTTCAGCAACACTAGATTGGATGAAAACAAAGGCAGAGTTTAGAGTTGTGCTACTACTGTTTAATGGATGCTACATAGCAGAATACCTTTTCCTATTTATTGGCAGTGCATACAGTTCTTGGGCACATAAAGTTGATCAGACCTGGTAGACTGACTTTTATCCTCTATAAGTATCAATTAGCCATGATCTAACTTCTGTAAGGGCCAGCAAAAACATTCTGTCTTGCCTCTAATGGGAGAGTTTGTGGCAAGCTGGTCTTGTGCTGGCACTGGGCATAGGAAGGAGGCTCTCCCTCCCAAGTTCAAGCACAAATATAAAGCTTTATAACATGTACAAGGAACTTGTGCAATTACTTTAAGCTGCCCTTTGGGATGCAGAAATACCATTTACTTTCACATTAGTTTGCTGCAGTTAGGCTTTTGCCATGAATGTAACATGAGGCAACCATTATCCTGTGACCCCTGATGTTCTCATCCCTTCTCAAGCTGGAATTTCTCTGATCAGCACTATTTAATCTTGGGTTTACTTACTATAAAGTTAATCTATAGAATAGCAGTTTAGACATAACTACATTTGTCAGCAAAGCCTTTGTATCAGCATGGGACGTGGTTTGACTTGATCAAATAGAAGTGGCTGTATCTTTATGAAGATTTTTATATCAAGTTGATACTTACTTTGTGTGATTGTGGGCTTGGGTGTTTCTAAAAAGTAAATATTTTTGTACTCTTGAACTCTGTGGTAACTTAAAAAACCTATTTTTCCATTTTTAAATAAGAAAAAGGGTTGTGCTGGGTTTTGGTTTAAATACCTTGTTTTAATCGGTCTCATTTTTCGTACTCGAGCTCAAGCTGGGGTCACATTTTAGTGTTTTCAATGGCACATTTAAACAAAGACAAATCTTTCCCAGCTGTGGAATAACTTTCTGAAAAGTACACGGTGTTGTTGCAAGGCCTCGTGGTGCCTGGGGATGGTGAAAAACAAGAAAAGGGGATTGCTTCAGCTCATGAAGCGTTTGCAAGGAGAATTTCTGTCCTCTGCCAATGGTTTCCCCAGGCTCACAATGGTCTGTGGAAGAACCCAACAGGGATGAATCTGAAGTGCCGGTTTCTGGCCAGTTACTATTCGCTTAGTTGTAAAGCTGAAGCAAACAGCACTGGTTTAGTAGCCACTGGCACAAGTTAAATGTGTTGCTATGAGCTATTTAAGCCTCTCCCTGCAATCTTCAGCGGGAAGGGAAGCACTAGCGGGATCGTTCTCACTGATTGCAGGGGCTGTTGCGCTGTGCCTCAACTGTCACCGCTGTCACCTTTATCTGGGTCTCTCTGTGCAACCTTTGGTCCTGGGCTGGTTAACTGGATGTGCTAAAGCATATACGAAACTGTAGCAATTGCCACTCATTCACTTATGTCTTCATGGTAATAAAAATGTGCGCTGGCATTGTATAACCTGCTTTCTGTGTGGAGTGCAATTGAAGCGTCCTCGCTTTAACGCTTTGGGCAAAGAGGTGTAAAAAGGTAGTTTAAAATGTTCTTGGCGTGGATAATGTATGAAAATACAACCCTAAAACCAAGCTCTTCCACAAATAAGCTATTCTATGCAGTCAGACTGTTATGGTGTAGTACAGTTATTCTGGCTTTCAGATGGTTCAGTCCTGACTCTGCAATCCCACAAGGGCATGGACACAGACCCCGGCCAACCTCAAGGCTTATTTTGAGGTTTAACTTCTTTTTTGTCCATTTTACTCTTGATTTTTTTCACAGCTTTGTAATTCCAACATGGAACTAAAGATCTTTTCAAACAGAAGCATTCAAAAATGCTGTAAGAGGTGTACGTTGGCTTTTATCAATTAGAGCTGAAGATGATACAGTCCACAAAAGGCTGGTCGGAAACGTGGATTCGCCCAACGTTGGCAGGCAGGGAGCAGCGTGAGAACCGGCAGCGGTGCTGCCCGCAGGGCTCTGTGCATCCCCGTGCACATCGAGGCCGCCTCTTCGGCCCTTGCTGTCAATACAAACCGAGGCGCTGCCCGAAGCCAGGCCTGGGCAGCACCGGGCAGCACCCGGCCGCGGCGGGGCTCGGAGCACCGGAGCCGGTGCAGAGCCTCCCTGTTGGCGCAGGGCATGCCGGGAGCCGCCTGGCCCCGCTGCGGGTGCCGCGCTGGGCTGGGCCGCGCTGGGCTGGGCCGCGGTCGTAGTGACGGCACTGAGCGTCCCCACCTGCGGGGCCTCCGCCTACAAACCCCACCCCCGGCCGCTCCCCCGCCGGCGAGGCCCGGCCCATGGCGAGGAGCTCCGCGGCGGCTCGGAGTGGCCGCTTCTTACCCGCGCCAGAGCGGCCCGCAGGTAGCGGCGGCCGCAGCTCGCCATGCGCGACTACGACGAGGTGGCCGCCTTCCTGGGCGAGTGGGGCCGCTTCCAGCGCCTCGTCTTCTTCTTGCTCAGCGCCAGCATCATCCCGAACGGCTTCAACGGCCTCTCCATCGTGTTCCTGGCCGGCACCCCCGAGCACCGGTGCGTCGTGCCCAGCGGGGCCAACCTGAGCGCGGAGTGGCTGAACGCCAGCATCCCGCTGGAGCTGCGGGGCGGGCGGGCCGTGCCGAGCCGCTGCCGCCGCTACCGCCTGGCCGCGCTCACCAACTTGTCTGCGCTGGGGCTGCGGCCCGGCTCCGACGTGGAGCTGGGGTCGCTGGAGCAGGAGCCGTGCCGGGACGGCTGGGAGTACAGCCGAGATGTCTACCGCTCCACCATCGTCACCGAGGTGCGCGGGGCGCAGGACCGGGGCTGCGGGGGGAAGTGCGGGGTTATCCTAATGCCGGGTCTGTTCGCTTTCCCTGGTAAAAGGAACCTCTAAGCGCAGCGCGTTTAGTGGGTGTGCGGCGGCTGCTGAATGGGCTTTATCCGGTACCTCTACAGCGGCTTGGAGCAGGGGTCAGTGCGGGGGTAGTGGGTGCGCCCGCCTGGTGTTTCAGAGAGATCTCATTAGGCTCGGGAGATCAGAAGGGTCTGGTTTTGTTGTGCACGATGCAGCAGTCAGGAAGCCCTGGCGTGATGCTGTGTCCTAAAGGACGCTGAACTTCATCTGTTCAGCCCACGATGCCGCTGCTTTGACCGAACCGGCTGCTTTGATGTCCCCATTCACCTGCTGGGGCAGGTCATGCTCGCCTCTGCTCGTAAGCATCCCAAGAGCCAAGAAGGCAGGCAATACGATTGAAGCTGTGCAAATGGTCCCTCTTGTTTTAAGTGAAAGCTGAAGTGATCTGCAGGTGCTGATCGACTTAAAGTGCAAGGAAATAGATTTTGGGGAATACTTGAATTTCCAAACATATATAGTTTGTTGGGGTTTATTTCAAAAGGTTTATAAAGCGCTTGTACAGTCCCATTGCCTGTTTGTGCCTGTGGACAAGCTTTACAGAGCTGGAACTATAATTGATGTTACTCCTTGTTTTGCAAAATGGGGTGTTTGGTTGGTGATGGGTGTGAGCATCTAATGAACATAAGCATTAAGTACAGAGCACAGAAGTCTTCCTCAGGAGGACTGGGGTGAGGAAGGGAGTGTGGGAGGGGAGCCGTGGCAGCACGGGGAATCATGGAATGGTGGCACTGGAGTTGTTGGAAACTTCCCTCAAACACACACAGCAGCAGGGCCTTGAGTGGTGCACAAGGCATCACCTCACCTATTCCTAAAGAGCTGCTTGAGAGGAAAGCTGCTCTGAGTCTCTAGGCCCTGCTCCTTGCTGAAATGCGCTGTTGTGTGAGGCTGAGCTGCTCTCAGGGGAGCGTAAGGCAGTTGGCATCTTCTCATGGCAGTCCCATTCACGGCTGAAATGCAGGTTTTGTTCCAGTGCCTTACTATAATGTTTCACTTGGCTTAGGCATGGTTTCAGCTTTGTCTCTGGAGCTTCTTCACTGAGTTTTGCCTTGGTGTAAATTAAAACATCCTGAGCTATCAGGGTATTGTCCAGGCGTCCTATAATCAGTGAGGAACAGGAGCTAACATCTTGCTGCGCCTCCCCAGCAGCTCTGGTTTTGGCAGATGTTCCGTGCCTGTGGGAGGTAATGTCTGTCTGCCCAGACATCGTGCACCGAGGCAGGGTTGGGGTTGGGGTTTTTCTCCCTTTATTAATGCCTCTGAGGGAGTTTTGCAAGAGCTGTGGCCTTTCACATACTTACAGGTTTTTGGTGTTAAACTCGTTGCATTTCTTGGCTTGCTGCTGCTGCTTTCATGATTGACCAATCTTGTGTTTTGTTGCATATCTCGCACTCGTTGAATAATCATGGGGACCTTTGTCCCAGATTTCCGCAGCCAAGGGAGGGGGAAGGGAGAATTGTTTTAAAGAAAGCTTTTTGCTGAATCTCTCCTGCCCCTGGATAAAGTCCTCATTTATAGTTCTGCTTTTCAGAGGTTTAAAACATTCAGTTCCCCCTCGCTTGGAGAGACACTTCCTTTTCTCCCACAGACTAACAACAGAAGGTTGTTATTAGCCTGTCTGCAGTACTTAACCAGTTCCCATGTAACCAAATCCCTTTCTGTCTTTTACTTCTTGAAATACTGTAGCTTGGGGGATGAGAAAAGCTTTGCCTTGGCTCAAGAAGCCATGTGTGTCACTCTTACTCCTCCATAAGTCCCATAAAAAAAGAAAGTAGGAGTAATAAAAGTTCCTATGTGGTAATAAACGGAATAAAACCCAGGGTAATTAAGGGAAAAGGCTAACTTCTGCCAGTCTGACCTGTTAGGGGGTTATACTGAATAACTGGGAATAGAATTGAGCAATGGAGTTAAGAGCTTGAGTGGACTAGAAATATGATATAAGGAGAAGGCGTTAGATGATACAGCAGTCAAAGCACTTTAGTCCACATGGGAGTAATTCTAACATACTGAAACATAAACAGGCACATTTGGTATACATGTGTTCATCCTCTGCTTCTAAGACGTGTTGTGTTGTTCATCGGTTTGAAACCAGTTCGGGGCAGGAGGTGTGCTCCAGGGCTGTGTGGTTTATGCCTGTTGTGCTCTTACAAGCTGCAGGGACTGGCTTTGGCAAAGGAAGGATGCGCGTGGTGAGTATTGCCAGGAGTCCTGAGGCTTGGCGCAGGGCTGGTGCTCTGTCCTGTATGGACATGCAGGGAGAGAAGGTTCTGGGCAGATGGGAGGGCCCAGAGGTTTACGTTCCCTGCCCACCAGGGATTCAAGTGCCCTGCTGTGCTGCCAGACCTGATGGAGATCAGCAGGTTATGCCAGACCTGCAGGAAGGAAGCGGAGACGGCAGTGGTGACATCTGGAATGACAGAAATGGGCACTGTGGTACAGTTGTGGAACCAGAGGTTTCCATTTTCACCCTTTGGAAGGCAGAGGGATGTATTGTTTTGCTTTACCAAAATAACCCCAGGTCATGGTAGACATTGCCCTTTTTCTCCAGCCCTCTCAAAAATGTGATGTATGAGGGGTAGTTCAATTTCTGCGCTGGAACTGTAAGATATTTGTCACTTCCCTTCCTATTCTATGCAGGTTTTCTCTCTGTAACAATTTAAAACAACAAGGGGAGAAATTGAGCAGCATGTATGTTTTGTGCATACAGACTTCTGTTTGTATTTGGATAGTGATCTTTAATGTCACATTTAGAGCTTCGAGGTATTTGAAATACACAAATGTATTGTCAGAGGAAAGGGTGTTTAATAACACTTACAGCTCTTGAGTAAGCAGAGTACGTTTATATAGGTATAAACAAGACCAGATTCCAAATCAGAGCTCCTGAGTCCTCAGTTGTGAGGCTGCGAGATTGTTTTTGAAGAGCCTGCCTCTACTCGCAGGGAGAAGCAAGTGGTAGGAGAGAGAGTACAGGAGATTGGATTGGCTTCAAAAGCTCTTGCTAACATGTTGACTTTATAAAGAAAATATTGGCACATGGGACCATCCCTCTTCAGTTTTCAACTGTGCGTTATTCTCTGTTAGAGGAAGCCAGCTGAAAAAGAAATAAATAAAGGAGTGGGAGGACACCAGGTGTTGTTGCTGTAAAAGTTCCTGTTCCTGTTGAGCTTTTCCTTCTATAACAAGGGTGTAACCGAGAGAGGCTCTTGAAGTTGTTGTATTTGTCACAGTTCATCTTTGTTCGGGGTTGTAGTAATGCTGTTGGGGAAGTGGGAGTGTTTCTGCGGTGGAACAGTTCTCTCTCATCTGAGAAACACCCTTTTGTCAAATGAAGCCCTAAATTCTATTGGTGGTGGGTTGCAACTACTTGTAACTTTCACAGTGTATTTGGTAGTGGTCTGTATTTGGTATATATTTGTTTGCTGTGATGCTATTGCAAGGCCTGGCAGTGTTTTGAGAACTCCTCTATAATTAGCCTTGCCATTTCCATGTTATGATGCATTGAAAATATGGGGCCAATTTTATCCTTACATAGGGTGGCATCTTGTTATTAGCAGCTAGAATTTTGTTATTTCCTCTTTTGCCATCTCTTACAAGGTGATATAATTGCAGTGGAAGGGAAGCAGGATGAGGGAGCTGCATCAGGTGTCTGGGTGAGAGCCACTGCGGGATTTAGTGTTAGTAATTCATGAGATGCTGGCTCTCCTTTCAAGGCATGGGGTGCTTTGCAAGTGCAGTGGACACAGAGCCTGCACACAGGAAATTACCCCTTCAGGTTTGGAAGTGTCTGGGGACCACAGAGGAACAGTGTTTTTTACCTGTGGTACAGCAGTATCTGCAGCTGGACTTGCGGCATCCTGTCTGCCTGAACTTGCCTTGCGGTTTTAGTGTGATGCTGTTATTTGGGGCTATGAATGCTGTTCACAGTTTGCAGTTTAAAGAACTTGAAATATTTCACCTTGGAGTCTGCATTTTGATTGTGGCTTGTGTGAAAACTACCAGAAGTTTCCTTTTTTGATAGAAGTTATATTAGTGTTCAGTTGCATGTTGGAAAGGTGTAGGAAATGTTAGCCTAGCAAGACTGACGCAGTTCTACAGCCGCTGCTTAGTGTAATCCTAGCTGAACCTGCCATAATACTTCTTGTTCAGATATTCTACCAGTCCCCTCTTCTCACCCACCCTCACCTGCAGCTGGTATCAGCCAGGAATCTCACGGAGGTGAATATCCCACCACACATCTCTACTCTGATGCAGAAGTAATTCTTGCTGGTAGGTGTGAGGATACTGATGGGCATCACCCCAGCCTGGTCACTGCTCAGGAAGAAGCTACAGCACAAGCTGCCCAAGTAAGAAGATAAGTTTAATCCGCAGCAGAGGGTGTCCCCTTCCAAAGTTGTAATAAAATGGAGTGAGGGATGCTCCGTGCCATGCCTAGAGCATTGAGTACCAGTGTTCAGCAGCTCAGTGCTTTGCAACAGCAGCAGCTGGTCTTTGAAACAAAGCTGAAGTGGTTTTCTCCTGTTTGGAGTCCCCCCAGACCTTGCTGGGGTTAATCTTACCTCATTCACTGGGGCAAAGGCCGTTAGAGCTGGCAGGTCAACTCAAAGGATACTAAGAAATGAAAAAAAGCACATGATTTTAGAGCCCTGGGTCACACTAGACCATGTCCAAACAGCACTGCCAGCAGCAGGATTCAGTCAGTAAGTACTGGGACACTCACTGTTTGTCATGCTGGTCTTCTATCAGTGATGCTCCAGTGAATTCTTGGGCAACATACAGCTGAGGGAAGGGTACGGTTGCGGAATGGTTCTGGAAGGCTGATGCCACCATCATTGACAAACAATAATGTACACCTTGTTGGCCAGTTATTAAAAAGTTGAAGACTTCAACATTCATTTACTGGGGCAAGAGGTAACAGACCTTAAAATCCCTTTGTTCTGATGGTTGTGCATCTGTGGAGTCTGTAAATAACTGGTATTGCACAACCAAGGCAGTTTTTCCGTGGTAATCTGGTGTTGAAGTTCACTTTGGTGCCTGGTTCAAGTGATCTTCAGCATAACAGCTCCGAACATTGCTTTAGGAGAGTGGAGAGGAAAACAAGCTGGTAATCATTGCCACATTTAAAGAACCACTGTGGTCCCAGCTGCAAATGCAAGGAGCTTTTGGCAGAACAGTGCAAAACATTTTACTGTCATGAACTCTTCCAAGCAGGTCTCTCCTCAGTGGTCTGAAGAAGTTGTTTGTTAATGGGCACAAGCACGTCAGTGTCTGGAAAGCCAAGTGGGCCACAGCCTCGTGTCAAAGTACAGGGGGATGCCAACTCACAAGTACAAGGTGGTCAGCTGGAACATAATGACTTATTTAGTAATGACTGTAAATCACTGAGCTAGAGTTTTGGCTAGGTAGCTTTTAGTTCTGTGAGTGAAGATGACTGGCTCCAGTAGCTGGTGCAAAGATGGTTCTTTGTGAGTAGGCAAGCCTTTAGTAATGCAGGACTTGTATTCATGGTGTTTGGTTTCCTGGTAAGTGTCATCATGCGTAGGCTTGTGATAACCACTGGAACCTTTGGCCTGCATGAATTTGGTAATGATCATTCACTGCGTAGTTCCAGCCAGGAAGCTTCAGTAAAATGGATCTGGCAACTTGGATTAGCCTCTGGGGTCATCACAGAATTGCTCAAACATTCTTTAATCTGTCATGAAGTACAGCTTTTATGGAATAATTGCAGAGTTAATTATAAATGTTAACTGCAGGTTTTAATCCACATGATATTGGTAACCATAGCACGTTAAATCCCTTATGTGAGTGCTATGAATTTGTTATTAGAAAACCACAGTTGTGACAGGAGCTTCTGTAATGATGTGTAATTGATGGTGTTGCAGGGTTTATTGGAGCAGTGCATGGAAGGCTGGTGCCTGTGCCTCAGGTGGTGGGAGGCTGGAATGGTTTGGGGAGTAAGTGCAAGAATAATTGAGAGTTATGAAGTCTGACATAAGGAGGGGTTTTTCAGACATAGCAGCCCAGCATCCCTTCCCATTGCTTTCCCAGAGCTGCATCTCTGCAGCAGGTTACTCATTCCTCCTGTGGAGGTTTTCTGTCCAAAGAGCACATTTTCATCCAGGCTCAGCCGAGGCGTTTCAAAGGAGGAGAAGTCTTAGAATCATAGAATAGTTCGGGTTGGAAAGGACCTTAAGATCATCCAGTTCCAACCCCCCTGTCATGGGCAGGGACACCTCACACTAAACCATCTCACCCAAGGCTCTGTCCAACCTGGCCTTGAACACTGCCAGGGATGGAGCATTCACAACCTCCCTGGGCAACCCATTCCAGTGCCTCACCACCCTAACAGGAAAGAATTTCCTCCTTATATCCAATCTAAACTTCCCCTGTTTAAGTTTTAACCCATTACCCCTTGTCCTATCACTACAGTCTTGTTTACCAGAAGACTTTCATGTTCTCTCTCTCTGCAGTGGAACCTTGTGTGTGACAACGACTGGAAGGGACCCCTCAGCACCTCCCTGTTCTTTGTGGGCGTCCTGCTTGGATCTTTCATATCGGGACAGCTCTCAGACAAGTAAAGTATATACACCAGAGCTGCTGGCTCTGCTTGATGTTTTGTAAGCAATTCTGTATGTGAAGTTTCCTGTGTCTGTCTGCAACTGCTAACACATCTTTGTTCTGCGACTGTCTAATCTGAATGTACACAGTGCGTAGGGAACACGTCCTGAACTAGAACAGAATGATATGAAGATTGTTAGTGGGGGTATCTTTATCTCTTTATTCTTTTCAGCAGAACCACTTTGGCAGCAAACTGGTTTTATGCCAGGAGCAGGTGTAGGAGATGTTTCATCTGGAAACATCACATTAGGGATATTCTCTTCTAATTACTTTGGACCATGATCAGAGGGATTCCTGAGGCTTGTTTTCCCTTTTTTGAGGTCAAATTTGAAACTCTTTGTGTAAACACCCGTAGCTTCTTTCCTCATCATCAAATGCAGCATTCAGATCCGATGATCTGCATGTGTGGAAGCTCAAAGCATGAGTGCTGCTCAGCTGTACTCCAGGGAAGTGAGGCTTTCTTGTCAGTGAGTACAAACCTTAATGAACTGGAAGAAACCATTAGTTTTTGTGGTGTCAAAAGTCATCTGGTTTGTTTTTCAAAGCTCGGTTTCCCCGATTCTCTCCCTGGGATTTGCTGTGCAGAACAATATGTGCTGTCTTCCTGATTGTCAGAGATCAGTATGTGGTCCTCTAACTTGCTGATTCACATGCAGAGTTTATATTTCTTTGAAACACAGTCCCTGTGCCATGAATCTTGTAGCATCGTTCAGGGCCGTTGCGTGGTTGCCTGCTCATCGGGTTGGACCAACCTTGAGCTTGGAGGCAGTGATCCTTGAAAACCAAGCAGCTTCCCTGGACTTCTCTCCAGAGCAATATGGCATGGATTTTTCCAAGTGGATCCCTGATGAGGCCAGTGTTTGCTCTCCCAGTGATCCTCCCTTCTGCCTTGTTTCTCCTCTCATGATCCTGCACTTCACCCATGGCACAGCCAGCAGCTGTGGCAGCCTCCAACCCTTCCATCCTCAAACAGCTCTCCTTGTTTGCAAGCTTGAGGTCCAGCAGTGTCTCCTTTTGTCAGCTCCTAAGTTATCTGCATTAGGAAGTTATCATGAATGCATGCCAGAAACATCCTGGGTCTTGTCCTTCAAATCCCCCATGATAGCCACTGTCTTTGAACACAAAGCTTCCCGTGGTTATCTAAAGTTGGCCTCCTTCTTGCTGACCAGGTGAACTGCAGTGGACACCCACAGCAATGCCAGTGTTGGTCTGCTTGCTAATCCTGACCCATAAGCTCTCGGCTGGCTCTTCATCCATCTCCAGACAGAGTTCTGTGCCTTCTGGCTGCTCTCACCTTTCCATTCTTCACTATGAGGTGTCTCCCACCATTTCATCCTGGTGCTGCTGCAGGGCTTGGGTGTTTCATTCAAAAGAGCTCCCAGCCCTTTGTCTGCTACAAGGATGCCACGTGTTTTCCATGGTAGCTGCCCAACAGGTGAAGCAGGAGCAGTTCTGGTGGCAAAAGCCATGAACTTCCCACTTTCAGAGTCACAGGAGTCTCCTCCTGCAGGTCCTTCACATGGTGATACAGGCACTGTCAAGGAGACCATTGGTGCAGCTCATCCAGTTACTCTCACAGGGCATTGGCACTGACTCCTACAACAGCTTGATGGGTTGGGTTGAGTTTAATTTCCTGTTATCTTCAATACTTAATCAGTAGAACTGCTGGAGTCCCTTAAATTGGCTCATTTTTTACCAAGAGGAATGAAGATTGCAGCATGGGATCACTTTACTGATAACAGCATCTTACACACCTCAGGTTTACCTCTCCTTCAGAAGCTTTCCTTCTTTGTGTTTTACCATGCTGCTCTGTGTCATGAACTGTGCACTCCATAGAAAAGGAGCATCTCATGCTCCTGCATTTTAAATAATTTGATTATTTCCTGTTCATCCTGTCAGTAAATAAAAAACAGTGTCCCAGCATGTACTTAAAGGCAACTTAAGTAGCAGCCCTTGGAATATTACGTTCTCTTGGCCAGTGGATGTTTTAATGTATTTAGAATAGTTGTGCCTGTGTCATGTTTCCTGAACCTCTGTTTTGTGCAGATGTTTTGTATCTCCCTGAGAATTTATATGAATAATCTTATTTTTTCTGTGGCTGAAGATTTCATTTGTGCTGTTGTGTAATAATCTCTTTTCTTCTTTCTTTAATCTGTCCATGGAAGGTTTGGCAGGAAGAAAGTGCTGTTTGCAACTCTGGCGATGCAGACTGGCTTCAGCTTCATACAGGTCTTCTCTACCAGCTGGGAGATGTTTTCAGTGTTATTCTTGCTGGTCGGCATGGGGCAGATCTCCAACTACGTGGCAGCGTTTGTTCTTGGTATGAAAGTCCTGCTGGGCACAGTATGTGTTCTCTCATCTTGTCCTTTTCCTGCTCCTTTTCAGTACTGGCTTAGGGTTGATTTGTTTGCCAGGCAGCACTGTAAGAGTGTCCTCACCATATGTGGATAACTTGTTCTCTCCGTGGAAGTTTCCAGTCGATAGAGGTGCAATCTGAATTAATTCTGTGGCTTACCATCCTAAAAAGGCAAAAAATCTGTTATTTGGAACAAAGTCCATCTTCTAGCTGGAGAGATAAGACACGTAAGACATGAATTGTCAGGGATTTCGGTTGTCCATTTTGGGGCCTGAATGCCCTTTTGATTTAAAATGGGTACATCAAAAGATTGCAATGCTTTTGGGGCTAATAACAAAACAGTCTTTCAGAAGGTGATACAGGTGAGGGACCTAATTCAGGCATCTCTGAATTATTCCATAAAGAAGCTGTTTTCTCTCCGTGAGCTAGAGATGTCCCTGTAGACATCAAGCTGAGGTTAACTGTTGTAAATGTTTTGCAGTATGTCAGGTGGGTTTAGTTCCTCAAGTAAAATGTGATATTCTGAGAAGATAAAAACAGAGAAGTATTAGCTACTGTGAGCCACGGAAATACTTTATGGCCCAGTTCCCTTTCTGCTTTATATATAATTACCTGGGTTGATGAAGGATCACTGCATGAAGCCGATCTGTGGTGACTCTAAAATCAGACGGCACGCTGCACTAAATGCTATAACAATCCCATATAGTGTATTTCAAAGCCAGTTGTTAGAGGTGGGTTTGGTGCGTTATGCGGTTGCTGTTAAGCTAAATACTGCCCTTCCCTCTGCTGTTTTGACCAGGCACAGAGATCCTTGGCAAGTCAATCCGGGTGCTGTTCTGTACCCTGGGCGTCTGCATCTTTTATGCATTTGGCTACATGTTGCTGCCACTGTTTGCTTACTTCATCAGGGACTGGCGGATGCTGCTGCTGGCGCTCACTTTACCTGGGCTGCTCTTCATCCCGCTCTGGTGGTGAGTACAAGTTAAAAGACTTCAGTCTTTAACAGGTCTTGTCTGCAGGCTTTTAAGGTCCAGACTCCAGTGAGCCTTTACCAATGAAATTCAGGAATGGGCAGCTGAAGAATGGACATTGTGTCCTTTACTCTTCCCAGCTGCAAGTCTGTAGCTTTGTGAGTGATGTGGCTCATGCCTGAGAAGCCTACTTACTCTTCATTTCTGTAGGCTTCTGTAAAATGAAGTCATGCACATACATAGAAAATAAAGTCAGTAATGCTCCTCCTTCTGTACCAGCTGAAATCCATGAGTAGGCCTGAACTAAGGGTAGAAGGAGAAACCGGTTGTTTTGGGAAGCTGGGCAGTGCTCAGGTGATGTAGATACGGCAAGCTACAAATCGGTACTTGCACATCCGAGACTTCCGTGTTTTCCTCCGTAGTCAACTACTTTTAGGTGGCATGTAACGTTCAAACAGTCCACACGGTGGTGGTGTTTCCTCACTGGCATTTGTAGCTCCCTCCAGTTTCTCATGGTATTGAATGACTGGTGATTTCTGCTGCCTGACTTGCCTTTATGTGACAGTATTTACAGTTACTAATTGTATGTGTGTTATTCTTCAAGATGCAGATCTTAACATACGGAATGCTACTTGTGTAATCACGTTTCTGAATTCCTTTAGCTGTTTCCCATACTCTGAAGGTTTTGATTGCTCTTTGTTCTCTGAGTCATTGCTAATTTCTTTAGTCCTTCTCAAACCCACAAACACATTTTGGTCTGTTCTTGTCCAACGTGCTAGTCTGCTCTTGTGAACCTGATTTCTGTTGTCATTGCTCGAATTTCTGCAAGATGTGGCAGATTTTGAGATCTGCATACCTGGAACAATGGGGGCTGATGCCTGCAGCAGTGCTTGTTACTCTGAACCTTTTATACAGGGTCATTCCGGAGTCTCCTCGGTGGCTGATATCCCAGGGAAGGTTTCAGGAGGCAGAAGACATCATCCGAAAGGCTGCAAAAACTAACGGCATTACAGCCCCAGATGTGATACTTCACCCGAGTGATGTAAGATTGATTTAGCATCCATTGGACCTATTAATGACCCTGTAAAGTGATTGATTTCCAGACATGAATTGAGTTATGCCTGCAATGTTATTACGTATTTCTCAGATGGATAAAAGGTCATCCTTTTCCTGAAAAGCAGAATACCCTTTCCTGCTTCATTAAGATTTGCCAAGCCCTTGCTGTCCCATTCCCATGGGAATGCCAGCATGCATTCTTTTTGATCCAGTTTACAACCACCTTTTCCTTTTTAAACGGTAGTTTTAGGAGGCAGGTAATGAATTTGAGGTACCTATTGCTTTGTGATCTGCATACCAGGGCTGAATATTTGTACTTGCACATTCTGGTATAGTTCTATAAATCCTAACACCAGGCTAATCCTGATGAGTGGCACTGGAATTAATGTCATTCTAGTTCGTATTCAATTCCGATTTTTACTCTATGCTAAGGAAAGCAAAACTTGAGCCCTGTTAGGGTGGAGTGGATAGCAGTATCTTTTCTTCCCACCTATTTCTTGCAACATGTTCTTGTTGCCTGTCAGTATCTCCCCTTTGTCTGCTCTGTTTGATGACCTTAAGGTGTAAAAGCAGTTCCACACTCATTCAGACATGGCCTCTAAAGGTCAGACTGTTTGCACAATCCAGGAGAATGGCACCTTTCTAGGCAGATGCGTAGAACCTGTCTGGGCAGTTGTGCGGTTGTGTTCTGGTTGACAGTTGATATTATCTTGTAATTTATGGGACAATCCCTTGTATGCTCACTTGCTCTTCAAGGCCTCTGTCCCAGGCTAAGGCAGATGGTTACACATTAAGTTTCTGAGTGTTTGCTGTTGACATTGAAAAGGCTTTGCTTGGGTTGAAGTTAGCTGAGGAGCAAACAAACTGCTTGTCCAGACTTATTTGTAGATAGTAGGACAGACATCCTGGCCTTGCTGGGACAGAGAGAGAATGTCAGAAGAACCCAGACCTTCTGAGGAGAGCTTTTTTCCCTGGATAGACATCAGGACATGGGGGTTTTTCTTTTTTTATTCCTCTTTTCATGCTGCAGCCAGGAAAACTCACCCATTGTGAGTGGCAGGAGAACAGAAAATTAGCTCTGGCTGCAACATCTGGTTAAGGTCACTGTCCCTGGAATCCTCTATCTCCTGTTCTTAGAAAGAAACATTGATTCATTTGCCATCTAAGAATGGGGTTAGATTACAAAGCAGCAGAAGGCAGGGGCAAGGAAACACTGGACAACACTGACTTCTGCAGCAGGATGGGCTGGTGTTCGTGGTGCTTGTTTATAGATTAAATCATTGCACATTAACTTTAGGAAACGCAGATTAACATTCCGGCACTCAAAGGGAAATGAGCTTGATGAACAGGCACTGTTTAAATGCAAAACTCCTGCCCATCTTCTTACTTTTCAAGGTCAAAGTAATGGCCTGGCCAAAAACAAACCAGTGCAGAGCTTCTCACCATCAGTGGTCTGTTTGCCCTGTTCCCATGTCGGCTTTCTGCAGAGCTGTGAAGCAGGAGGCTCACCGCCTCTTGGGTTTTCAGGAAGCTGATTCGCACTGCAGAGAGGTTCTTGGGAATCTGGCTGGCTCTCAGCCCTCCTGCCTTTGCAATGTGAGTTCTTTGGAACTCTCCAGCTCATGTTTGGAGCATTCCTCAGCCCCGGGCAGCTGGGGAGCAGTACCTGCAGCATTCAGGCTCTGGAGATTTCAGAACCAGTTAGGATCCCGCAGGTGACTGGTTGCAAACAAGCTGCAGAGCACACATAGAGGCTGCTTGATTCAGTTATCCCATATGAGGGGAGTAGAAACGCTTGGGTTACAGGTTTCAGCTCAAACCATCGTTTAGCCCTTCCTGGTCTTCTCTTAGCTTCTTGTTCTAGCCTGTCCTGTCAGGGATTATGTTGTCCGTTTATCCAGCTCCTAAAAGCCACACTCATTCTTTTTCTCATCAGCTGTGGCTGAATTTTGCTGTTCCTGGTTTTGTTTTGTGGTTGGTTTGGTTGGAGAGGTTTTTTTCCTCCTTTTTTTTTTTTTTTCCTGTTTGCTGATTTCTTGGCAGCAAATAGTGGCAAAACTGGAGAGTGCTTAGGAAAGAGCATGTGATTTATGAGAAAGGCTGGGAGCTGCAGAGCTGACTGAAGCTGACTGGTGGGAGGTTTGGCTTCAGGCAGAGGGAAAGCTATCAAACATGAAGAACTTTGCTTTTCTTAGACAACAAAGATTTATGAAGGCAAATACACTGCAATTGGGTGTGCACGAGCGTCAGACCCTCCAGGTTTACCCTCCAGGTCAGAGCAAAATAGCACTCAAAAGAATTTTCACCTGACTGCAGGGATTACCTAAACTTCATGTTCCCATTAGCTCAGATACAGTTTACAAGACATGGAGAAGATAACATATGTTTTGAGTTGAGAGACAAGAGATAAGGGCCATAAATCAGTGTCCAGCAACTACCCTGCCAAAAGAAACATCACTAACTGAATATGAAAGAGAGGTTGATGAGGAATGAAGTTAAACTAATGGTTGCTTTTGTCTCTTTATTGGTGTGTGGTGTCCTGCAATACATCCAGCTGAGCCAGCCTGATGTTTTAGGGGAAAAAAAGCATTGTAAGCTGAACTAACAGAGTAGAGGGTGGTATGTTAGACCAGGTGGAAAGAGTTGAGTAAAGGTTAAATTCAAGAGTAGTTGCACTCTACTGTAGCTACAACCATAGTTCATTTCTGTAGGTAACTTATTTGTACATACCACGAAGGAGTACCCGGTGCCAACAAAAGGCAATTCTTTAAGCATATTGGAATTTAATTTGACATCCTCAGGTCATGCTGACTTAAAGAATCAAGGAAGTGCTCTCTTTATACAGTTTATTGGCTTGCACTTCATAGAGGTCTGTCAGGCAAGAGTGAATCTTCTAGTTGTGGAAAGAGAAGGTGTTGGCTTGGCGGCTTACAGTTCAAAAGGTGCCAAAATACTTCAGTATTGCCTTTCTTCATTTCAGTTCTGAGGTGGGTAAAGTGCTAAGGATGCTCAGGTGGATGCCTGGTTTTCTTCTTGTTGATGTTCTTGCTGTAAGGGTGTTAGAGATACCATTAAGCTGATGAGTGAGCAGCTGTGATAAATCCTGAAAACACCATCTTTTGTGATAGCAAAGTATGACCTGGCAAGAAGACTGCGATTCTTCTGCTTTATCAGAGTTGATAGTTTAAATCAATGGAACTTGTCGTCTTAAATCAGCTTTTATATATTCTGAAAAGCCTGTCCCTGTTACTTCTAGTTAAGAGTCTGAATCTGAGGAGTCTAAAAAAGCCTTAAATTCTTTCCATTTTTACAATCTTACTGAGCACCAAAGTTGTACGTGTGCTTCATGGACAAGCATCTTTGCACTGTTTACATGGAAGTGGTTTTATATTGAGGAGCTGGAAAGTTTCATGGGGAAAGGAGAAGTTTGTTGCCTTTCTTTGCTTATATTCTTAGAAGATCATCTCAAAACCAGGCTAGGTAACGGTGAGGACTCTTCAACTCATTAGCCAGTTTGTCTCCATTTAAGTGCATTACTGTTGATGCAGCATGAGGAGTCATTTACTGAATCTATCCTGCTACAATTTAATCTTGTTATTTCTCGCCTGGTCCTCCAGGTCCGCTGCAGACAGTTTATCACTTCTGTTGCTGGTTTTTGAAGACCGTTCTTGGTCTTTGGTCTTCTGGCCCTAAATAAACCCTCTGCTTTTACAGATCATGTTTTTCAAGTGTCTTCTCATCCTTGTTGCTCTCTTCTTGTCAGAGTGCAGTGGTTTGCATGATCCTCGAGGTGCAGTGCTCAAAACTGGGTGTAAGACCCTACCAGCAGTGATGTATAAATCATGAATTAATGCTATCACTTTATAATTCACGTATAAAGGTAACAATAAGCAGTCGCTTTGTGGAGCCTCAGGCAGAAGAAATCATTACTAATTTCAGCCTAAATGTTAAGTGTCTTTACATGAGGGAGGAGCAAGTACTTTCACAGGTAGTTGGCTCTTATGGCTTATATGAGTTTGGGTAGAAATGAGGCACCTGTTTCAGCACTGCAGCATATGCTATGGGAGGGAGTTACTTTCACAGTAATTCTGCTTGCAGGAAGTTAATGTTCCCATGTTTGTTGTTGTTATTTCCAGCTGCAAGACCTGGATTCCCAGAAGCAGCAGACATACACCATTTTGGATCTAGTGAGAACCCGAAATATCCTCACTATCACGATTATGTCAGTGATTATTTGGTAAGCAAATGTGGTTCAGGAGTATATAAGCATAAAAGCAGCAAACCAGTTCAAACCTGCTCTTTGAACATAAAGGGGTTCTGAAGAGATTCATACAAAACCAGCTCAAAAGCCAGCAACCTGCTGGCTGAAGCAACAGAAATCTGGTTATGTAGGTTCTTAATCTCAGTTAACAGTCTGGAAACACATCTGGATTGTTATTCCTTTCTGAAGCAGTCAGGCATATCCTGAACTGAGCCAGAATCACATCAGCTGGTGATGATGTGTGGGAATCCTGCCTTATATTGGGCCTTGGGGAATGCTTTTCTGACTGTAACAAAGTCTTCAAAGAGGAATAAGTCATGCCCTGTCCTCCGGTCACAGAACTGCAGGGGTCTGAACACATCCATGCTTGACTTAGGGGGGAGAATCTTCCTATCACTTTTGTGTTGTCTATTAAAGGGATAAAGCTGCCTTTGAAGTTTTAATCTGAGATTTCCCTAGACTTTCCTGCTGGCTGCTCTGTCTCCCTGCCGTCTTCATCTGGGTTTTGCACTAGCTGAAGCCATACTTTGGTTGAACAGTTGTCATTTGCCTTTACTGGAAATCTCAGTGAAGCTGTAATTGCTCAGAGAAAACAGAGAGGGTAACTTACAGCCTGCCAAAGGCTATAAAAGTGAGGTTTAATTAGTGCATGTACCTTCAGTGTCCTAACCAAGAAGGTCTCTCAAGTGCTTTGGGGCTAACTAAGTCTATTTGCTGCCTTTTTGAACAATGTTCCTGTGCTTTAGTGGGGCAAAGCTTTGGAGGTCAGTTCACAGAGCTGCCAGCGCGTACAAGCTGATGTGGCTTTTTGGGTCAAAGGATGACTTGGCTAATATTTAAACCAGATTCCATTGCCCATCACCAAGAGTATCAATTCAGTTTCTGTATATTCTGCATTATGAACCAAAAGAGCTCATAAAAGCAGCTCTGTAAAAGAGGGTAGTTGCAGGTAGCAGCGTATCACCTTTACATCTTGCCAAGTGTTTTGTTCATTTTGAGTAAGTAGCAGCCTTTACACTAATCCCATTGCTGGGTTTGCATCAGGGAGGAGGAAGTTTGGCTTCTTCTCACCCTGGGGTGTGTAAATACCTCTAGAGGTTTTCTGCAAAATGTAGAACTGTGTCAAGATCTGCCAGTGTGATAAACTGAGACAAACTGCTGCTGCAAGTGAGTTCCAGCAAGCACAGCTTATTGTCTATAGAAATAACTCCTAGGAGCACAGTGTTGTGGAAAACACCGAGTAACTGCTTCTGAGAAGAATAGCTGTAGCTGGCAGGGCACAGCAGCAGGGGGTCACCCTCAGCTGTATGACTTCATACTTTTCCAGGTACAATGCAACTTATTTTAAGCAACTGGACCATGAAGGCTCTTCCATGTGAAGCGAGGCAGAGGAAGAACTAATCTTTTGTCAGTGACTCACGTTGTGCTGTGCAGTGATTTTGCTCCAGTTCTGTTAGATCACAGATGCTGAAGGAGATGAAGTGCTGAGTGCTTTGTACCCACCATTGCACCTGGACATCTCCTGAGCCAGTGCCCATTATTTCCTTGCTTATTTTGTGTTGCTGGTGAAGCATGGCCTTGTCTTCCCAGCATCTCCCAAGACATGACAGGATTTGTCTCTCAGGCCATTTGAGTGTTTCCGTTGATCGTGTGGGAGCCAGCTCTCATCTGCAGCAGCACAACTAAGGTGGCAGTGTTCCTGGCCCCCAGGCTCTGTCCTGCTGCACTGACCAGCCCAGGCACCGAGCCATGCAGACATGGCTTGGATGCTGCCCAGCCAGCCTGGGGCATGGCAGAGAGAATCCCCAACTGTTTGGGTCTGCTATGATGGTGTATTCCTTTTCTCTGACTTATACACAAAGCATGGAGGGTAATGACCCAGAAACAATGTTCTTCACCCAGAGCTCCCTGGTAAACATAATGGAGAGCTATGGTACACCACAGCAGCAGTAAAATTCAGTAGTCCACACTTTCAGTTTAAGACTATAACTACTCGTAACAGGAGCTGCTGTATCCCCACATTAGGGATGATCATCACCTATCTCCCAGGGTATGAGATATATGGAGGACTACATGAGAAGTAGTTGGCCCCTCTCCATCAGCACAGTAAGCAGAGACAAGTGAGATACCTAAGAGTGACAAGTGCCCAGAGCTTCCTTGCAGGATCTGAACAAGAGTGGGATGGACAGTTGCACAGCCATGCAGAGGCATCAGAAAAGATGTATGACCTCTCTAGCTGAAGGACCATCCAGCACCTATGACCATAGGCTCATAGACCTGTGCCTCAGCAAGGCTAGCAACAGCTCTGGAGTTACCTCATTGTGGTAATGCTGAATAGGATATTTTTAATCTTTTAAAATATATTTTATTCTTTGAATTCAAGAGCAACTTGGAAGATAAAAAGCATCAGCACTGTTAAATCGCTGTCTTGCTCTTTCTGAAGACGGCACTTCAGCTGCGTCAGAGGTGAAAGAATCTGGCACATGCTGAATTTGCCTTCCAGAGTGGTTTCTGTGCTTAACAGATGTAACAGAGGTTCACAGCAGCCTCAGGAAGAAGAGAAATTAGTCTGATCCTGTTATTCTGCTTCTTTCAGGATGATCATCTCTGTCGGTTATTTTGGACTGTCTCTTGACACACCTAACCTGCATGGAGATGTCTACGTGAACTGCTTCCTCTCGGCAGTGATTGAAGTTCCAGCCTACATTATCTCCTGGCTGCTGCTTCGAAATCTCCCGCGACGGTACTCAATGGCAGCTGCGTTATTCTTGGGAGGCTGTGTTCTTCTCTTCATTCAGCTCGTGCCTTCACGTATGGAATCGTTAGTTGATCTCAAATATGTATGATAGGTGAAGTGCAGTACCCTGTGCTAGGCAGATGTAGAGGAAAAGTGTGCTGAGGGGGACTAAATACAGATGTTCATTTCCTGTCTTTGTCCCTTGTCTCTCCGTGCTGCTGCACAAGGAGCTCGCATAACATGTCAATTCAAATGCATTTTGAAAGGTGGGTCATTGGCTTTGTGGTCTGTTGGCATTAGCATTGTAGTCTAGATTTGCCTTTCATGCACACGGTCCAAGTGTAAAACCAGGACTAGGCAAACCAGACTTTGCTAGGAGATTACCAAGAGGCTGCAGAAGTTACTCCCCAAGCAGTCAATGACTGTCTCTTTATGGCTTGTTTCAAGAGTTATATTCAAGGGAGTCATTGTTTCAAGGGAGTTATTGTGGAAGCATTTTTGCTTGGCAAAGATGCTTGTACTAAATTGGTGTCAATAATTCAGATAATGCTTGCCAGCTGGAAAGGAGGACAAAATAGCATGTACTGGATATCAAACCATATGTATCTTCAGGACACTTAGATTAATAGGGTTATGGACTCGTTACTGATAATGATATGGAATATGATGGGGGTTGTTGTTGCTTAGCACTTGTTTACGCTTTGATTTGTAAACAGAAGAGTGCACAAGAGCTGCCTTGCTTATGTTATACAGGTGATAGATGTGTTGTGAATCAATTGCACACTGATGCAATCTGTTTTCATTTTCAACTCTGTCCCAGTTAAAGTCAACCCAGCTTCCTACAATTAAATTATTGACTTGCAGCTAAGAACGTTAATGAGAAACCAGAGCAAGAAACCAAAAATAACTTCTTTCAAATGTTTAGTTTGATTCACTTTATTAAAAAGGGGTAGAGAAAATCTAGATGGGGATAGAGATTATTAAAAAGGGATAGAGAAATCTGAGAGGACCTCTCCCATTCTTGCTCTGTTCTCCTTATTGTTTGCTTGGCAGGAAGCCCCATGCCCAAGTGGAAATTAAAATGTTGAGTCCTAATAATTAAGAATTAAAACATAAAAACGTTGCCCATGCTTGTAGACATCTACAGGGAAAAAAGATGCCAGACACTGGGATGAATCAGGCAGGAGTTACACAAGCACAATGGAGTTGAGAGATGCCATGAATTGTCAGAGCTTTATTGAAGTCTTTACTGCGTTTTGATTTCAGATATTCGTGCACTATCTATTCTGCTGGTGATGCTGGGGAAATTTGGGATCACGTCTGCCTTTTCAATAGTTTATGTTTACACGGCTGAGCTCTACCCAACAGTAGTGAGAAACATGGGAGTTGGAGCGAGTTCCATGGCCTCTAGGCTGGGCAGCATCCTCTCGCCTTACTTCGTTTACCTCGGTAAGTAATCTCCTGTGTGTGTGGGAGATGCTGGTGGATGGAAAGCAGTATTTCCTACCCACATCAGTGTCCTACCTCTGCAGGTCGTTGGGCTTTCCTGCTGTTTAAGAAATGCTTTGAAGACTCAATCTGATTGACTGAACAGGGACAGCTCTTACGGCTGTTGTTTCCTGGTCTCTTGAATTCCTTAACCCACATTTATAACAACAATGCTTTGAACATGAGACTATGAGGGGGGCTGGTTGGGTTGTTTTCTATTGAAGGCATGAGTCTTGCATGGATAAAGCCCTGTACCTAGGTACAAACGTCACCAGCAACTTGGAACTGATACTAGATTGCTTGTTTGTTTAATGTATTCTGCTAGGTGCCTATGACCGATTCCTGCCTTACATCTTGATGGGGAGCCTTACTGTGCTATCAGGAATTCTGACTTTATTTCTACCAGAAAGCTACGGAATGCCTCTTCCAGACACCATTGATCAAATGCTGTTGGTGAAAGGGTAAGTGTCACCATGTCACCTTCTGATCTTAACACATCTGTTATCTATATGGAGAAGGGGAATTGACTTCCCCAGGTATTGCCATATTCCTCTTCCCATGCGTGTATGTTTTGGACATCTCAGCTCCAAATTTATCATTTTACTCTGAAGGCTGAATAGGAGTCCATGAATGCATTTAAGTGTGTTGCTCTGTACTGCAGAGTACAGGGACACTCTGTGGGTTATAATCTATCTTCCTAGGTTCTAAAAGTACTGGGGAAGGGCTGAACTCTTCCAGTTTAGTTAAATTGACCTAAAAATGCATTGAGAGCCTTTGGCCTTTTGCCACTGCTCTGAAGGTGGCACATGTGCATAGGCCTGGTGTAGGAAAGGGACCTGTCCAACTGAAGCCAACAGGATGGTGAAATCAGGAGGCTGTAATATCAAATAGGGCTCAGGGTATCAAAGACGTTTTTCCTCTATTCCCCATCTATTTTTTAAGTGATTTTTCTTTCTTTTGTTCTGTATTTCCTCTTCTTTTTTTTTTTTCCCAGATTAGAATACAGACCTGCCTTTAGAAACAAAAGGGATTCCAAGGAGGAAGAAGAAAATCCAGAGATCTTTAAAAGCACAGCTTTTTGATGGAACTCCTGTGTACTTCCCTGGTGGACTGGAAGTTAAATGGACTTTTTCTTCTAAAATGCATTCTAGAAAGGGCTAGTGGCAACACTTCCTGTAATTTTAACCTTATTTATTAATTTAAACACTGTGTTCCATATATTCTCTTTTTATATGAGCAGAAGTAGTGTATAGCCTTCAATGAGGTTTGTCAGCCACAGCTGGTTTAATAGAGCAGTACCATGAACAGTATCTGAGCAATCCTGTGTAACTTTAAGTGTGTAGTTCAGCTGAAAGATGCTTGAAAATGAGTTCAGGGGCTGGCAGGTACCTGGATTCCTCAGTGAACCTTCCCCACAGCTAATGCACATCAAGAAGTCAAAATTGCCAGACAAAGCTGCTTATTGGGTTTGATTGCTGAACTTCTGTCTCCAGACAGGAAACTTATTTATTAAGTGGAGGTGATGGGAACGTGCCCCTGATCTCACTCAAATGACTTTGCACATGCTGAGTTGGCCACCAAATTCAGGAAGATGCAAAGAAAGATTTTGAGAGTGAACTGGAACTTGGTGTGTTCTCACTCAACACAGATGGAAAGGGCTCTCTTGCACAAACTCTTTGTAAGCACTGAAGCTTTGCTCATGAAATTCACTTGATTCCAATGCTGGTTTTTGACTCTACCTGCACTGTGAAGCTGTTTACATCTGGCCCTGCCTGTGGCCTGCTTCCAGGCCAGGCTTACTTTAAATGATGCAGAAGGTTTTGTCTGTGTGTGGAGGGAGCGGTGGTATTTGGGGTTGGTCTGCTTTGGTGGGTGGTGGATGTTTTGTGCCTGTTGTTTTAACGTCTTCTGTGCAATTTGGATGGTGGAAACAATTCTGTCCTTGCTCTGTGCTTTTCACACACGTGCACGTTCACACGCACACAGTATATTTAGAGCTATGTTTTGTGTTAATCCGTAGCACTGTGGCCTCATGGTGGAACGTACTGAGAACAAACTTCAGAACATGTTTCTGAGCACTCACTCTCGATTCTCAGGTGCCAACACTACAACTACTGTGAGGTCTGTTATTTCACTCAGCTCTCATGTAATCACTCAGTTGTTCTCAACCTGTTTAAAGAAAGAGATCTTGTTGACAGTCTGCCAAGAAATTGTTCATTGAGTCGTGGGAGCACCCTTGGCATTACCTGTGTTCCTTTAAACACAGGCAGTATATCTGTACACCCCATCTCGTTCGTGCTGTTCTGATTATACTTGGACGGATGTGAATGGTAAAAGATTTCTCTCTTATGGCACTTGTCTGTATTTTGTTCTGTCTTGTTGAGACGTAATAAACAGAACCTAAACCTTTGTAGCCAAAGCTTTTAAGGGCCTTACTTTGCTGTGGGACCTGGTTGTGGGAGTTGTCATAGAATCCCAGACTGGTTTGAGTTGGAAGGGACCTTAAAGCTCCTCCAGCTCCAACCCCTGCCATGGGCAAGGACCCCTTCCACTGGAGCAGCTTGCTCCAAGCCCCTGTGTCCAGCCTGGCCTCAGCACCCTCACAGGTCACAGACACGACCAGGTTGGTTCTGTCTTCTGAATACAGTAGACATTGACTGATACCCATTTCTCATTAACCAAGACTTTGATTCCAGCAGTCAGACTGATGTGTGCCTTCAGGATTGCTTGTTGCAGAAACAAGAAAGCTGAAAACGCTGTATAGACTATACTGGTTTGTTTGCTTAAACTTCCTACCAGCGTCTTGAGCTAAAGGGTTTGCTCCCCTTTCCCTGCATTTTCTCCCCTACTTGTTCAGTACTTTGGTTTCTGGATGCAGCAGAAGTTGCCTGGTGGTACCAGCTCATACCCTCAGCTCTTCCAAGGAGAGAAATCCAAACGCTTGGGCAGGTTCAGTGTCACTTGTGTTTAAGTTGACAGGTTTAAGATGCAGTATGGGGTTTGGAGCTAGCGCAGAAATAGAGGATGGGTTTTGTAAGCCTCGCTGCACATCATACAGTTGCCCTGACATGAGCAAATACATGGCAGGAGAGCGCATTAACAGCCAGTCTCCCTTGCGCAAAAGACATGATGCAATTTCTCAGGCCTGTCCCCTTGTTTGAAACAATCATTGCAAACTTAAAAGAGCCTGTTCTAAACCCCAAAATAAGGTTCTCTTCTCAAACCTTCTTTCCAGGGGCAGGAACACGAAGAAGCTGCTGCTTTTCTGTGTGTTGCAGGAGAGTTATCTGATAACCACAGGAATCCGAGGCAAAGCACAATGAGCTCCAGCTTCCTTGTAATGAGCTTGCCAGTGTAAACAACTGTGGCCCGTGAGTCTCTTCCTCTAAACTGCTTCAGAAAACAATCCCGAAATGGAAGATCCCTGCTTCCCTGAGACCGGAGCGAGTATGGGAATTCCTGTCCTAAAGCACAGAGCCTATTTAAGGTCCAATTTAGCTCTTGATTCTTATCCACTGTTCTCTCCAGGTATGTGCCTTGACAGAGGGACTTTTGTTCTTGCATATTTAAGTATTGTGATGTTTACTAAAGAGGGAAAGGGGAAGGAATTGGGGGTTTTTCTGGCAAAAAGGGGAATTTCCTGGTTATGACTAATGCCACAAGCACAATGGCAGCCTCTGTGTCAAAAAATACTGGGGGTTTTTCCTTGCTTATGTTTTGAAATGTAGGAGTCGGAAACATGGGCTATACTTAATGTGGCATCATGGATACCTTTGTAATTCCTTTTCTATCCTGCTCTTTTCATGACTATCTCTAAAAGAAGGGTCATGTTCTCCTGGGTAGGCACAATCCAGCTCATAGGTATTGCCAAAAGAAGTTGAGGGAATATCTTAGTACAGGTGGGTGATGTGCATACAGATGAAAGGTCCTGATCTTGTCACTGGCAAATGTGAGTGGCATCAGTGCTGGCAAGAGGTAAGGCTTGTAGCACGAAGCATGGCAGTACCTGCAGAATAAAGTCCTGGTGCTGCACCGTGCCTTGAATCCCAATGGGAGTCACACACATTGTCACCTTGGTAAAGAGCTGATGGGGTTTAGTACTGGTACCTGGTGGCTCCTGAGCACTGGTCTTGCCTGCGTGTGCTGCTCTCTGGGGAAGTCAATGCTTTTGCTGCTGTTACGCTCAAAGAAGCAGTGAGTGATGCCTTACAAGGGGAAAGGGACAGGATTTACCTTTGCAAGAGGTGTTGTGATAAATCTATGAGTTGCTGGTACTGTGGAGGAAGGGAGTTCTGCTTCATAGGCTCACCACAGAGACTTCCCTTCAATGCTCTCCAGGGCCCTGAGCACAGTAAGCACGTGAGGATACTGATGCTCTGTGCAAATAAACACCTATTTCAGGATTTGTAGAACAGAACCTCACACTAAACCATCTCCCCCAAGGCTTCGTCCAACCTGGCCTTGAACACTGCCAGGGATGGAGCATTCACAGCCTCCCTGGGCAACCCATTCCAGTGCCTCACCACCCTCACAGGAAAGAATTTCCTCTTTATATCCAATCTAAACTTCCCCTGTTTAAGTTTTAACCCATTACCCCTTGTCCTATCACTACAGTCCCTAATGAAGAGTCCCTCCCCAGCATCCCTATAGGCCCCCTATAGGTCAGCTCAGTTTGGTGCATTGCAGGTTTAAGGAACAAGCTGGGGATTCTCCCCCTCTGCTGCACTCTGAGAGACCCCCCCCTGCGGCCCTGATCCAGCTCTGGGGCAGCAGCACACGAGGAACATGGAGTTGCTGGAGCGAGGCCAGAGGAGGCCATGAAGATGCTGCGAGGGCTGGAGCAGCTCTGCTCTGGAGCCAGGCTGAGAGAGCTGGGCTGGGGCAGCTGGAGAAGAGCAGCCCCATGGAGAGCTGTCAGCAGCACTTGTGCAATGCCGGCCGGCCACTGGGATCCAGGGCTGAGCGCCCGTCTTGCTCTTCCCCTTGCAAACCAACCCAGGAACGTGACATCCCTGTGGCCTCCAGCAGCCTGTGTGCTGCGGGGCTGCTTGGATTCGGGGTCTTTCTTCGGGGGGCGGGCTGTGAGGTGCATTCTGCTGTGCAGAAATGAGTGCTCCTGTGAAGAGAACCATGGAATCCCACGTTGGAAGGGACAATAGGGATCATCTGGTCCAACCTTTCCAGGCAAGGCACAACCTAGACGAGAGGTCCCAGCGCCATGTCCAGCCAAATCTTACCAGTGTCCAGTGCTGGGGTATCCACTCCTTCCCTGAGGGGATTATTCCCATGGCTGATTGTTCTCACTGTGAAGAATTTCCACCCTAAAACAGGGGCTGTGCTCAGAACCCCCTGCGCTACCTGCTGCTTGCTGCTCTGGTACAGCTTTACTTCGAGGCAAGGTAAATAACGGGAGTGATAAGCAGGAAATGCCAAGGTGAGGGATTACATCCCTGGAGAAACCAGCTCTGAAGCATGCAGTCGTTCCCTGGAGCGTGCAGAAGGACTAGAGCAGAGCATCTAGGGAGGAGGCTCCTTGTTCCTGCTGATTGCTCCTCTCCCCAGCTGTGTTGGACAGGGAAGCTCTTTCACTGTTGGCTCCCTGCTTCTGAGGCATCTTAATTGTGACCATCTGGAGGGTTCTTTGGCCCTGGGGTGAATTAACTTGATTCCCTTTAGATTTATCCATTAATTGTCCTCAGCCATCAGACATCTTACGGCTCGGGTAGTTCTTTCCAAGCTCCCAGTGTTCTTACAGCTCCTGCTGACACCAACAGGGCTGGTTGGGAGGAGTTCTCCTGTTGGAGGGCCGGTGTTTGCCCATGAAGGAAGCTGCCCCCCCCCCCATCCCAAGCACCCCATCCCCAGGCCCCACATCACCCCCCTCACCCTCAGGGGCCGGCTCTTTCGCATCTCGAGGGCTGCGGTCCCTCTGCCTGCTGCGGGTCACGGCGAGCACCGGGGAGCGGCGGCCTCGGGTCGGTGCCGTGCGGGCGAGGGGAGGCTCTGCCCCAGCGCCCATCGCGGTGCCGCCGCTCCGGGTTCCGCCCCGGCCCGAGCCGAGCCGAGCCTCCCGCAGCCCCTTCCCATGAGGGCGGCCGCGGCCGGGCCCGGCCCCTCTGCGCAGGGAAAGGGAAAGGGAAAGCGAAAGGAGCCGGGGCCGGGCAGCGGCGGACCCCGCGCAAGCAGCGCTGCGGGGAGCGGCGGGACCGGGGGAGCATCGCGAGCGGAGCTGGGTGCGTGAGGGGGTCAGGGGAGATGCGGCCCCGGTTCCCTCCTCCCCCGGCGCGGGTGAGTGCGAGCGCGGCTGGAACCCGCGCTGTTTCTGCCGCTCAGGCGGTGCTGACGCTTCCTCCATCCCTGCCCGCTGCTCTGCTCCTCGGCTCTGGAGCTGTCCTCCGTGTACGTGCCCCCGGAGCTAACAGGGCTGCAGGGAGGCTCGGTTCATCCCGTTCCAGGTGCCTGGGTTTCAGTTTCCAGTTGCTTTTAACTCTGCCGTTGTCAGTTGTTCGAGCTGAAAATGTTGCGTCCTGGATGCGCGCCTCAGCTTGGCTTGCATTGCTCTATCTATTGATTCCAGTCCAGCCAAGAGGGAGGGAAGGGCTGACCCTTGTGTCCCAGGCGGCCGTGGTGGTCCTTGGAGCAGCACTGCCTGCCCAGCTTCCCTCTGCTCCGAGCAAGGAATGTGCCTTTGGGAAGGGAGAACAGATTCTGTTGCCCAGGTATAAGATGATTTTGCAGATTCTGTAACAAACCGTGAGCTTTATTTCCTTCTGTGTCAGGTCAAGTAATGATTGCAGCTCTGGTGCCTTCCTCTGGGGACTGCAGAGGGCAGTGGCACCCGCAAGACACCCGTGGCCCCGGGTGCTGCTGCTGCAGGAGCTGCCCCAGAGCAGCGCCCATCGGCTGGGGAGAGCCCTGGGCAGCAGCGTGTGGGTCACTGCGGACCTCACTGGGGCTGCCTTGCTCTAAGGGAGGTCTCTGCAGGTGATTGTGTGTGCTGGGGGCTGTCGGGGGCTGTCCTGGTGTCCTCTGTGCTGGCACTGCCTGGCCATGGCATTGGAAATGTCCGCTCCAGACAAGACACAAATGAGGGTGCTGCGGCGCTGGCACAGGGTGGCTCTGAGAGGTCTTGGGGGAGCAGCTCCTGTTGAGGATATGGGGCTGCTGCTCCTATTGCAGCGGTCAGGAAGAAATTAATGCATTGAGTTCAGTGCATTCTGATCAGTCTGATCAAAGTCCTGTGCCGGAGCACTGCCTTGAGCACTTGGAAGCGTGCGTGGTTTATGTCCAGCCTCTTTGCCTTCCTCCACACGCAGCATCTTTTCCCTTGCCTGCTGGAAGCGCAGCTTGCACTTGTCCCCTTTTCCTCGATGGGCTGTTCCTCTGTTCTTGTTTAAAGCCCAGTGCTGGCTGTCCCCAATAGCTGTGCTGTGTGACACATAGCCCTTGCCAAGCTTGTGCCCACAGTGACAGTCTACCCTTGGGTCCCAGGCCTCCAGTGCCAGCACCCAGCTCATAAAGACTGGGCATGGATCCGTGTTGTTTCTGCCCATTTCTTTTCCCTCTGGAAGCCAAAGGCAGCCTCAGGCAGTGGCTTTGAGGTGCTGGGTGGGAGCCACATCTCTTCCTTGTCCTGGGACCCTTGCACAGAGCCCATTGACTTCACCCCTGTGTTGGGTTTATCCCCAGGGCTAGAGGTCAAGTCCAGGTTGAGGAAAGGAAGAGCAGGTTCTTCCCTCTAGAGCTCAGGTATGCCAACCCTGCAGTCATTCTTCAGTGGATTAATGAAGATTAGTCCAGCTTGATACCGTGCTGTTACTTGCCAGGCGCTGCTGTGATGTGACAGCAAAGAGCTTTAACATAGGCTGCAGCATGGAAACACATGAGAACACAACTGGCTTTGGTTCAGGGCCACTCTTGGCCCCATAGCGTATGTCGGCAGCATCATGGGGCTTCCTTTCCTTGGTGACCCAGGGGGTCTGTGGTCGCCTTTTCACCACGTGTAGTAGGTCAGGAGTTTCAGCCTCCTGCCCCATGTTTGTCACTGCTTGTTCGAGAGCTGACACCCATCCCACCCTTTCCTGTCTCATCTCAAGCTGCCGTAGCAGCCACACTTATCGCTGCGCAGCACCCGTGGACACGTGCCAAATACAGCCCCAGCCTGGGCAGCTCTGCTACAACAGCTTAAAATAAACCAAACAGGGTTTGTCCTATTAAATGCTGCAGGCTTTTCAGCGGAAGGTGCTGTGGAGCACTGGTGGGAGGCCTGGAAGGGCGGCTGTGTGTGTAGGAGATGGAGAACAGAGGTTTGCAGAAGTGGTCCAGGTCGGGTGAGGAAAGCATGGGTGGGTTTGGTTGAAGAGACAAGCAGAGATGATGTCGGAGCGCTCTGCCCTCGCTAGGATGTGCTGAGGGAGGGAAGAGCAGGTTCTTCCCTCCTGAGCTCAGATACATTCACCCTGCAGTCATTCTTTAGTGGATTAGTAAAGATCAGCCCGGTGCTATTACTTGCCTGGTGCTGTTGTGCC